CATCTTGCTCAAACGGTCCACAAAGACCACCACACCCGTGTTGCCCGCCTAGTTCTTCGGCAGGCAAGACACAAAGTTCATACCTATGGACTATTAACACCCGGAGAATACCGGTAAACGGACCAGCGGCACCGCCGCCGCATTTTGAGAGGGTTTCACCCTTTGACACGTCTCACATATAGGTGCTCGTCTATTTGTACAACTTAGGCCACCGATAGTGGCAACTTACCAAGCTATACGTCTTCTCACGTTTGGCTCTGTGTCTCGTAAGACCCTCAAACCCCAAATAAGAAATGTTTTTTTTATATAAGCTTTAATACCCAAACCTGAATAACCCAACCTACGCCGCGGTATATATGAGCCCTAATGTGGCCACATCTTGGTGAGGGACGGTTTTGGGGTTTGTTATTAATTTTTGTAGATTGTATGTGGTGCATCATGGCTTTTCCTTGACAATGTTGATAAATGAATTAAGCAGTGTATCTGTTGATTATCTTTTTCTCACCAGGAGAATTATTTAAAAATGCCCAGTAGTCCCATTCTTGTAATATTTGTAAGAAAACCGGTAGAAATTAAGCCAATTCCCTCAGCACGCCATTCACACTCAAAACTTTAGCGTACCAGATGCTGTTAATTGTACAGCATCGCCAATAATGTGGCGGGCTAGCCTTGCATACGAACGCACTACCTTTTCTAAATATCATAGTGCATTTGCAATCACGTTCGGGCTGTAAAGAGCATGTATGGAGCTTCATACATTTCACCTAATATTGTGTACATTGCAATTGACTTTAAATCAGGACGTATCAAATCCTGATCTTAGCCAAGCCATGTTCGAGTTGTCTATTGCAACATTTGGCGTACACATTCGCGTTACACAAAAATTGAGATGGTACAGTGTACCACGAATGTTGACTGCCATTCATCCTGTCATTTTGGATTCAGGTTACTGTCAGTCCAACGCTGGTATGTGTTGAATATTCAAATAAAGTACACTCTCTAGAGGTCTGACCGTCGCTACCTTGTCTTACAGCCCTCTATCCAGTATCATGTCCCTTGTTAGCAAGCCTAAGACCGTTGAGGCGGAGGAGACCCGCATCCACCGCATTCGCATTACGCTCACGAGCCGTAATGTGAAAAATTTGGAGAAGGTTTGTGCTGATCTCAAGCGTGGCGCCGTAGACAAGAACCTTAAGGTGTCGGGTCCTGTCCGTCTTCCGACTAAGATTCTGCGTCTCACCACGCGTAAGTCGCCTTGTGGTGAGGGTACGAACACGTGGGACCGATTTGAAATGCGCATTCACAAGCGTATTATCGATCTTCATGCCCCGTCGGACATCGTGAAGCAAATCACGTCAATCTCGATTGAACCCGGTGTGGAGGTTGAGGTGACTATCGCTGACACCGCTTAAGTGTTTGGTCGATCTTTTGTGGTCACTTTCACCATCAAGATCTACGTCGCTGCTTTATGCGCTTAAGATTGGTGGGGACGAATTTATTGCAGTCGTGATGAATCCAAATATGCACCTTGTGATCTTCGTTTTGTTATTATTTTCCTCGCTGTGATACTTAATAACATGACGCACCATTGTAGTGACGAATTTGAAAATATTGACAACAAGTCATCGTTTAGTTCTCGAAATGATTTCCAGGCAATAAAATTCGTGAATTTCTCTACCTCATTGTCAACTTATCACCCAAATGCACTCCCGATGGCGTCCCTCACGGTACAGATGCCTTCCAATCTTCAGAGAATATAACGTTGCCTCTATTAGATGTTTCTCTACGGTGTCTGATTTGACCACGCAACGTGTATGTTGCGTGGTATAATAGATGTTGCAGCACACGGTGACTTGAGGTGTATATTGCTTGCAAACGTAACTGTCATGGTTCCTCATGGATCGTCATCATGTCGGCCGACCGCTTCTCTGTACGTGTATGCACAAGCATATATAGCTACATTTTCTCCGTTGAAGTAAGAAATAACGCCAGCAGAGCTGACCGCAACTGCTCGCACATTTTTTTTCTGATTGAGATTTGACGCATGGGCTCGCACCGATACGTATTCTGGCCAGAGCTATGTACAAAGTTACGCTTACGGAATGGGGAAAGCCGAAATTTGCTCAGAATGTATTATCATTTTAAGAATATGATCTGACTAGTATAGCACTTTCAACATGGAGATCTACTGCAACTTCGACATCCTCTGTATGACGCCCACATAAAATGAAATTATCTGTAAATGCTCGTGGAATTTGTATTACGCATGTGCGAGAAAACCTAAAATTTGAATATGGGCAATACAATTTATAGTCAATAGACGCAGCAGCACCAAAAAGGTGATGAAGCAAATCAGTGAAGAAACACACAACGGCCAATCTCCGTCCTGTTGCGTTCATCTATGCAATTGCGGTATTTGTTCCATCACAGAAGAAAATCAAGCAGTGTATGTAAATATGTCATGTTACACTTTCTTTCGTTTATCCTCACAATAGTGATACAGTGTGGTACCCAGCTCGCTCGCAATTCTTTACTACAACCACTAGACATTGTTTTGTATCATCTCGTCACAGCGCAAGAGTATGATATATAAAGGCTCTGCACGGCTGCTGTAAGTCTCGTGTGATCCGAGTATCTCCATTTTAGACGTGTCGGTTGTACTAGCATCTGGGGTTTGTGTGGCTATGGATCTATTAAATGCAGTCGAGCAGCGATGTTACGACTGCTCATGCGGAAGAAAATGGAGCCATATTCTGGGAGGCTGTGATCACTAGATAGCGTCCAGCGTTTCCAGAGAGGAGAGGCGTAATCTTAGATGAAAACGTGCATCTGCATGGAATCATGGATATCGCGGTTTCAACATTGAATTGGATTGTCGTGTCTACCATAAGCTGCATGATTATGTACTTCCGCCAATTGAAGCCGTGGATAGAGCTCTGGAAAAAAGCAAGCCACTACGAAACGACTCACTATGTTACTCTAATAGCTGGTGACTGTGATGTGTCATTGAAAGCTCACGTATGACAGACGGACTGGCTTCGGTGTTAAAATGTGCATCCTTCACAAATACTAGCATTGTGCGCAATTACTCATGTTACGAGAAAGTCGAGCCTCACCTAGATATTTGCGAATGACGATGTGAAAACTCTCGCAAAGAATGGTACTTAGATAAAATAACTAGTGTTTTGAGAACGGTATTTGTCTTTGTCGAGGTCTGTTAGCATAATTCTGTGACCCTACGACTCGTTGACAACCTCGCAGCCATGAGCAATTTGTGTCAATTAGATCCCAGTGCTCCAAAAGGTCATTTTAAAGTCGTGTTTGAAGATGTAAGATTCAACAAAGCCCGGGTATGTGACGGTGGACGTCTGATAGTTGTAAATCAGCGCCTTGCGCTCAGCCTTAGCGCTCTTGAACCGGAGCTCGTTTTTGCGCGCTTCACTGATGAAGAAGTTGGCAAAAAATTGTCCGCTTCCAACACCTTTAAGCGAATGATCAATGTCCTCGAATGGAGTTCCGTCTTCAAACTCTCCATACTCGAAACTGTTCTTCTCCGGGTGGAACTGCACACCATAGATTGGGTACTTCTTCGCCTCGATCGCCGAGATAAATTCAACCCCCTTTCTATCTACGTTGGTGGCTAACACATTGTAAAAGTTGGTGAGAGACAAGTACTGGTTGAACCTTTCAGGTGTGATTCCAAGCTCGTGATTGTTCATTGTAATGGCCGTGTCATGGAGCCACGAGTACATTTCAGGGCTAGCCTGACTGAATAGTCGACTAGCAGGCGCAGCTTTAGTGAAATTTAATGGAAGAGAGATATTCATAGAATCAAGGCCTTCGTTTAACAAGTTCATGTCTTTCGTCGTGAGCTGCAGAAGCCATTCGAAGCCTAAACAAGTGCCCCACACAGGAAAGTACACCCCTTTGTCGTTTAGCCCCAGTGCCAACCGGAACAGTTGTTCTGCGCGATCATTAACAGTGGCAGATCCACCGGGAAACAGCAACCCGTTGAGTTGTGGCAATAGCTGCTCAAGATACGGCTTAGGGGCGTTGTATGGGATTGGGACAACGCGACCTCCAGCGCTTTCCACCCACTTGACGTATGATGCCGCGATATACTCGCCATGCTGGGAAATTGGATGCGCAAAGATGCCGACGATCGGCCCATGAGTACTAGCGACGACGACTGAGAGGCTAAGTGCTACCGAAACTAGGAGCGACATCAAATCCATTGTCAGAATAATCTTCAGGTCAAATTAAGCTGTGGTTGGTCTGTCCTACCAAACTGCATGATTATTGTGGTGTAAAAGGATTTGATTCGAAAGGATAATGTTTTAACGAATAATGAAGCTAAAAGAAACTTGTAAAAGTTTTACGTGATAAGCTTGTTCTTGAGCGCTGAAATAAAGGGAATTCTATGATCAGAATCGCCATATCGACTGCGGCACTATGTCTGCTTCTACGCAGACGGCTCTACGGCCATGCCGTTGTTTGTTCACGGAACCATGACCGAGGCCTAGACGTTCTTTTTATTCCGCCTCACCCCTGCACCAAACTGCACAAAACGTGCTCGTTTCCGAAAGCTGAGTGTGTTTAGACACCACGCCGCGGGACTGGCGACAAGGTCCAACGCACTATTAATAACCTGGTTAACTGTTTATCTGAAGGCGCAAGAGTTGCAGCAACCTCGATCAATTCCATAATCACGGCGTGATATATGTCGTGAATCTTTCCTGCTTTTAAATTTTTCTCTATTCTATTGCTTAAACTTAATACTATCAAGTTTTTTTAAGACAATAGCGTCGGCCGCAGGGACCATTACTTAGCGGTAGATCGCCGAGCTATGAGCTCAATAAAGCAAATGCGTTCGCGCTTGTAATGTTCGGCAAAAAATATATTTCTGGCGCGGTGTGTTGAAAGAGGTTTCATTGTAATATATTGTGAGTTGTGTTGATTTTGGATAAGCAAAGGAAATGCACTTATGGAGAAGAGTGGAAATTCAGAAGCGATTACTGTATCGGTGTTTAAGTATCTAGTCTGCATCCAGTTAACAACAATCTACGCTCACTTCAACATCCTACTCGCCTGAGCAAAATAAGTTTTATGAACGTACCGTAATCATCTCGAGGTTGGATCAGACAGGTAGCTTCAATACACTACTTCGATAAAACAAACGCCTAGAATCCGAGTACTGATGTGATGTCGTTATAACTCAGTTTTGGCAGTCTTCGTCCTGGTGTCCGCCGTCATCACAGCACTCCAACTGACTTTACCACGCTTGGCTTCATACGAATGTACTGGCGTTTGATGTTAATGTGGTTGGCGCGTCCATGTATCATGGGGTTCTTCGTCATGCTCAACAAATTGTCTTTAAGATACTATCATTCAGATACTGATTCGTATGTTGCGGCCAGATCCTCGCAAATAAGAAGGTAATTCACTTGCTTTTTGAATGGCCAAATTCAGTGCAAGCACTTGAAGACAGTGAAGCCATACTCATTTCTTATTCTATGTTTTCGTATGCGCTCATCCGAAGGAACGTGCAGCCCATAGTTGACTTGCGGTTAAAGACATTACTAGCCCAACAAGCATCAGAATAGTCTCAAAGTTTCCCTTTTCATCGAGCTAGAGACAGCTACTGTGCAAATTCACTCCTTGTTGATTGCAACCCATGCATTTCACCGCGGTCCAATGATCGACTATATTTTCTTCGAGCACGATAATAACCCACTGCGAAAGTAGTGTCCGGTCGTGTCAAAGTCATCAAGTACAGAGATGTACCCAACGACTCACGAAACGGAGCGTTTACCTTGATGTGCACGCAGCTTGAACAGGACCGAGAATTCAGATCCGCCGAACTTACTACTGCCTCGATATTGCGGGGTTGCCTGTTCTTGAAAAAATAAAATACATACACTTTCCGAGGGAGGCTTAGGTCTTAAAACACATACACTTTTCGAGGGAGGCTTAGGTCTAAAAACACATACACTTTCCGAGGGAGGCTTAGGTCTAAAAACACATACACTTTCCGAGGGAGGCTTAGGTCTACTGAAACGTCCCACCGCCTTCCAGCGGGCGGTTGACTTACAAAGGTGAAGTGACATTCATTATCTTAGCCAATAGGATTTTAACCTCCGTAACCTGATAAGTATTTCCAGTTCTGGTACAACAGAAGTAAAAGGGGATATACAACGATATAGGGTCTACAGTTCATGATAGAAACACAAATTATGTGTTCCGCATAAATCTGTAATGAGATACACCACCCCTCACACAAGCGTGGGTTTACCCAAATTTTCTTAAAAATTCCTTCAAACTTCCTTCAGACATTTTTTCGGACTTTTCTCCGACTCGAGACTCGACCATTCGTGCCCCACACATATGAAACCCGTCGAAAACGACTTGCGCTGACGTCGAGCGCAGAGCAAAACAGTACCTCGATCCGAGGATGCGAAGGCGCCTCTGCCATCATTGAGATTGGATGATGCTTCAAATCTATGTCGAACGGCGCTTTCACACGATGAGCCAACATCCGGCATCAAACGACCAGCTTGGGCGGATGACGAATGATATGAAGAGTGCGGCGGGGCTGCCGTAGCTCTTTCGCTTGAGGAAGCTAAGCCAAGGTCGATGACTAAAACCAGTACGCAATCCGCTTACTCCAAGAGTAAACACAACCTAAACCCAAGTTGCGGCAAAGCCGCCTATATCTAAATCTCCTAATCAAATAGTATAATTCAGTAAAAAGGAATATCTACTGGCAGTCCAGCCACGTAGTGGCTTCTTGTTAAGGTGTAGCCACACCACTGTGTGATCACACCATCTTCTGTGACCCACCCTTTCATACCGGGGTACGTGTAACCCCGTTACACTCTCCCATCAAAATTGTGGACACCCACAATTCACATTTATCTGTCGCCTCGTACGAGGCTAGCGTGTCCAAGACACCGGAACGCTCAATGAGTCCTGTGTCTAGAATACGAAAAACACCCAGCCTTGATAGTTCCGAGAGCGCCCTTCTTCGACTCCTGCAGGCGATGTGTAACGGAATTACACGTACCCTTTTATGAAAGGGCGGGTCACACAAGATGATGTGACCGTACAAAGGTGTGGATTATACAAGTTGGTAAGCACAATGATGTGGCTAAACCGTAATAAGAAGCCACTTCGTGGCAGGACTGCCATAGTAGTTATGCATATCAATTAGGTTTCACTACTTAATTGGGAAAACCTACTGTTTTAGATATTGGTGCAAATAAAACAGGTAAATATAGTTTAAATTTTAAACGGAAGAGTTTATTTGCCTTGGTTAAGGTTTTGGCTACTCTAGGTGGTAGCGGATTGCGATCCGCAATACTCGTATTGGTTCTGACGTAAGTTCGGTAACCTTAGCTTAGCTTCATCTAAGCAAAGAGCTACGGCAGTCCCGCTGCACGCGGTGCAACTCCGGACAGTACGTCCGCAGCTTCACGGGATCACATCCCAAGCCTCGGCAATAGGGCGCCACTCATCGCGCCCGCCACGGGCGACGGATTTTCTCGTCGAGGATTTGCCGACTAGGAGTCGGATACTCCTCTCCCAGGATAGGAAGAAGAGGAGGACGAGGAGCGCCCGCAGCGCGACGTGAGCCCTGCTCAAACCTTGCGAACACCGTGTCCGGTTCCTGACCTTTCGACCTCCGAGGAAAGTGTTATCACTACCAACCGCCTCGACGAGGCACAGATGCAGCAGCTGGGGGTTGCCCACAGGACGGCTCTCATGCGCTCGAATCCACGGTCGGTCATAGACCTTCGTGTGGAATACAGCTTTCGCTCGGCGGATCTCGCTACTGAAGCGAAGGACGCGATCAACCGATCGTTGGGAGTCTACGTAGGCGGGGTCTCGGTCACCACACAAGCTGAGCTTGACCAGCAAAAGCTCTTCGAGCTCCTTCTTGGTACCTCAAGAAATTCCCACGGATAGGTACCGTGCTCGACTTTGCGCTAAAAGAGGGCGGACTATTACTGTGGTGCTTGCCCCTGGCGAAACCGCTGCAGATGATGAGAAGATTTTTTTCGATGTGTGCAGCGGCACGGGAAACTTTCCTCGCTGTCTAACCTACAGCGAAGCCACAAGGAAGTGGACATGCGCGTGGAGCGCCATCTTCGGTTCGAGTTTGCCAGACTCAAGGCGCAACGCCGACTTCCTTCGTATTGTCGCATTGCGACGTATGGATTAATCCATCACATTCTCGTGAGTTATGTGGTATCTCGCACGGGTACCGCAGCAGCTCAGGGCCATAGCTTGAGCTCAGCTCATGGCCCTTCGGCTTCTCTGGCTATTGCCAAGAAGCGTGGGGCGTACAACGACGCGATGCGTCATGATCCCTATACTCATACGCGTCTACGGCGTCTGGGCAGCCTTGCCGAAGTGGCACTTTGAACCCCACGAATTCTCGGAGTATGGGTATCCCGCAACTATACAACATACTGGGTTTGACCTGTTGACGACGTCGACCCACAAGACGTTTCACGTGATATTGGACACCACCGTTTTGTCGAAGAGATTTGGCGGCGGACAATGACGACTGGTTCCATTGCCGTCCGGTGACTTGCGATGCTCTTCGAGCTCTTGAGGAAAAGGTCCGTCGCGATCAGACTCCGCTGAGCATCGTGCTGAGGTCGTATATCGCTGTGAGAAAGACTGCAAGAGCTTGGAGCACTTTGTGCACCGACTGCCTCACGTTGAGGACTATCGCGCTTTGTCAGAGCGGCTCCTAGCCGTCGAGAAGACAAATACATTAATTTGCGGAGCGCTTTGCGCCGTTGGAGATGGAGATCGTTGCACTTCGTGCGCAACATAGTTGATGGTTCAGTTTCTGGTTGGTTGTGCGCAGGTGGGTGCTGCCCCGTGTCAACGCTTCCGCGTTCACTTGCGCCGGGTCCTGGTACGGCTTAAGGAAGCCCACATAAAACACCGTAGGGTGCGCATCCGTTTCGGAAGGTTCATCGTATGCGCAAGTCCCCGCTTGACCACAACATTAAAAGATCCGATAAACCATGGACGGAGCTTTGTCTTTAAGACAGCAATAACTGCATATGTAGGAAGGGTTTCGCACTTTAAAAACCAGGTCTCCGACCTCAATGTTTTCAATATTTACTCTACCTCTTCTGTCTGCATATCCCTTCCGCATGTCTTGACTTTCAGCCATCGCATCGCGAGCGTGTCGTAAGACACTCAGTTTGGTAGACGG